TAGGGTTTGTCTGATTATGTTGTTTAAGTTCTTCTCCTGGGGTCACTATCATACCCACCCGAGCTTCTTGTTGGTTAGACCTAACCAAAAAACTAAACCGCGGTCCCCACTCCACTGCCAGAATCGTTCGTGGGTGCTACTACAGGTCTGCCGACGCCCTATCCTTCTCTGAGATTTGCCTATTGACACCAGAAACGCGGAGCACTGAGGAAGTGACTCTCGCCTATTGTAAGATGTTGTTCATACCTGGAGTGTTTTTCATTCCGAAGATGCCATTCATGAACGATGGAATTCGAATACTGCCGCCAATGTCGCTACCTATTCCTATCTGTAATTTTGGGTTCAATTCTGTATCTTCATGGAATAATAAACTATTTAGAGATATCCTTTATGAGACAAAAGAAGCATTATACTGATGGACAAAATCAATTCTAGTAGACCGTTCTTCTATGAACATAGGGTTAATACCCGCAGGGTTGACAAGCCACAGTCAGTTCAACAAAGGCAAGAGCTTTAAATGATTACTTCAAATCTTACGACTAACAGAAATCTCTTTTTTCAAATATTTTGCCACTTACCAGGCTTCCAGCAGCACTGATCAGGGCGCCTTCACCACCACTGCTTCCACCGACGGTTCTCCGTGTGTCATAGGGATTCCTTGTCAGTCCATAAATACCATTCGACGTCTCTACCCAGTAACATGCTTCAGGTACGTTTGTGATGGCAATCAGAATCGCTCCTGCTGCCTCCATCCTGAAAGGGGACAGTAGGAGAGGTTCATCAAATTCATTACACTGGACTCTGGAGAGACACCCTGAGCTATCCGGTAGGCAAAGTTACAGCACTCTATCACTGCTGTATCTTCGAAAAACCTCCGCTCCCCGAAAAACTTACAGCCTTTTCTTACTGTCATTATTTCTTTACTGGATTTGTCTTATTTACTCTGCTGTGGGGAAGGAGCTCTTAATAAGGCCTGTTCACGCCTTTACTCACTCCTGTGGGCTGTCTCCACTCAGTTGGTTGACCGCTGACTTCATTCATCGGAATTAGGGGTTGGGTGAGTCAATTGACGTCCAACTCTTACCTGATCCCGGCTGCACAAGGAAATCATCTCACACACCCCAGTGCTCCTTCCCTACTAAGGCTTGTGTAAAAACTATACTTCGCTGGCTAGGAACCGTCTCTAAGAAAAAGCATAGGTAATGCTAGCTACCCCTTCTTTTCTGCGCTCTAGCGCTCAGTGTCGAAAAAGACCGGAGCTCCGAACAAGCCTCCTTTTGATTCCATTAAAAACTGAATTCCTTCTACCCTGACGGGAATGTTCAGCTTATATCATATTTAACACAGACTGATTACCTCTTGATTACTTCTGCTGTCGATGTCCTTTTGATTCCCTTCTGAGCATAAATACCACATGTGATCACTTGCCCATCGACTTCGAGCGCATCTTTGGCTGTGAACGGAACACCCAGAAGAGGTTTGGATCTAATGAGCTGGAAAATGGATATCCAATAAATTGAATGACTTTGATGGTTCAAATAAAAGCAGTGATATAACCCTAAAATTTCCCAGATGTGCAAATAGGTGACTCGTTTCAAAATATGAACATTATGGCTTGTTCTATAGCAGTTCGACACTGGGAAAGCTTCAAAAGACTTCCTCGTCACGGGGTATTAGCGTGTAGGGCTCAACATACAAATCAGACAAGCTTCCTTCCGGGTTGAGATAGGGTTGATTTTGACCATGTTTATCTAGTTGCTTACCGTCTGTCTGGCTGACTGGCTTTGGATACCACTAGAGCAGCAGTGGATTCTGGCTTACGCTTACTATAACTTTTAGAAAGATGTCAGTTTACCGATTTCAGGAAAGTCAACATTGAGTTCGCGGTTATCGCATAAATTAATACAGCTTTGCTTACATTCATAGATAATACTGGAAGCGAGGCCGGTGCTACTAATACGGTATTTTTTGTAGATGATTGCACTGGAAAAAGTACAGAAACCAATAATCGGCAGCTTCCCTACCTCCTCAAGTTGTTGATCGTCCATGTCTGCTATTGATTTATCGATTTCTCCAGCTTTCTGGTTTGCCTCGTTAAAAAGCTTTACTACGACAGCATTGATGAGTTCATTAACCTTAAAAAATCGGTAACGTCCTCATCCCTTCTAGGTGAAGAAAGAATAGGAGAAAACAAAAAACTCTATGAAAGGGGACAAAAGACACAAGGCGAGAAAAAATAAGTGAAGAAACAATATTCACAAGCACGGCACACTAGAAAGTAGTATTTTTGAAGAAGTTGCCACATCACTGAAAAGTACCTGCTCAATTCGATGAGTATAAGCTCCGATTAATTGTTGTGAGGTTATCTGAAATCAAAGAAGGTCAAAGGAAAGCATTCCAGATCAGAAACGCTATTAAAATTCTATTAAATTCGAATTTGGATTATATTTCGAAAAAAAAAATCAATGGTTTTAATCGACACCTCGCGTTTCCTGATCTTCCGGACAGCTTCCGTCGCACTGAGCATGAGAAGCGGATCATTAGGGGCCGGGACAATTTTTTTGGCCTTGAAGTGATTCACCATACGGAAAATCACTAAGACCATTAGGAAGTAGATTCGCGAAATGACGAAAACCAAAGTCGAAGCGATGCCCATTCTCTGCAAATGACCAAAAAATGGTTTCGAAATGAGTTTTTCAAAGGACTTTGCTCATCGGAAAATCGACTAACCTAGTTAAAGGCCACAAGTTTCACTACAGGATAAAAAAAGGCTTTGGGAATTTTGCAAATATTGGATAAATATTGAAACAAAAAAAAAACAGAAAACGCTAAAAAAATAAAAATCATTCTCCTAGCTACAACGCATGTTCAAAAGCGATTGCTCAGTACTACCGAGATTTGAAGCCGTAATGCTATTTATTTTACAACTTTTTAAGTCATAATCATCTTAAACTTCTTTGGAGCTATCCCATTTATCAGTTCACACGAGCTGACACACAGAAAAAGACAAGAGAGAAGACGAGAGAAAGAAAATCAAGGGTGTCAATGAAGCATTCAAGGCGCAGAGAAATGAAGGTGACCATCCAGAAAAACGTAACGTTTCCTTCAGAAACAGTGTCCTGGGAATGAGTAATATTATATAACTATCTCTTCAGAGAACAGCAAGCAAGAAGTATCCCGTCGTCTCGTCTAATCAGAACCATTATCAGGTAAACGTTAACAGAACGCCGATTACACCCCCAGATAATCAGCAATGCCGACGGTTCTCATTTGTTCACCTTAATTCCTTCAGCGTTCGATGAATGTCTGGGTCGAAGAAAACGTCAGCCGAAACATATCGGTTCAGTAGGGTAAAGAAGATATTCTTGAACAGGACGGTCATCAACACTGAACCATTTCAAGGTCATCTGGAGGAAATACGCCAAACCAAATTTTTTCCTCCGACTTCTTTCACTCAGAAACCTTCACATTCATGTTTCTTTTCGCTTTCTGTGGACTAGACCTTTCAATAGCACAGGCCGTGATACAGCAGGAAAATGTTGGTCCAATAGGTTGACTGGTGGCGAAGGCAACGGGAAAATGGCAGAAATCTCGAAATGCAGAGCATTTTTTGAAATAATTCTTGTAAAGATCGAACGAGATTATGAGGACAAAGGTGTTCGGACGAGAGTTCAGGCGCTCTGAAGCAGTATATGTATTAGCAGTTGGTGTATAGTAGATAACCACATTCACTACAAACATGCTTCAGTTGAATTATATCAACCTGAAGAAAGCTGTCAAACACTTCTCTTTTGGGAGTATTGAGCACCAGTGGGTGCCAGGACGTAGTGGACCTGGTCTTGAGCACTTACTGCACCCGACGTCTTCGAATTCATTCTGTACAGCGAACTGTGCTTCTAGGTAAGAGATTTGCCGCAGGACTGAGTGATATCTTGGCTCCGCTATCTTTTCTGGACAGATGACAACAGTGCTAGCCCCTGACATACTCTCGGATTTGAACGGAAACATCAGACCAGTCTGCTAGCCGTTTTCTAAGGGAACAGCATGGAACACAATTGATCATCTTTCTGTATGGCAACACTTCAAAAAGACATGAGGAGAAGCAAAAATGGCGGCTAAAAAAAACCACCGAAATCGAGTTTACCTATGTCAAACATGCGAACTTAGAGAAAACAAAAATAGTAATGATCATGGATATTGAGTTAGGATGTAACCCTTCTTACTGATTAGTTCAACATCGCAGATCAGTGAAAAGAGCAGCAGTTACGGATACTGGGTGGGCCAGAGTTGAACGAAAGGACCGGAGCTACAGTAGCGCTCAAAAGTCTTCGGTGAAATACTTTGACGCTCTTTCTTTCATAACTTTTTTGTTAGTAGACCAAATCGCGCAAAATTTGGAT